ATATATTGTTCCTGTAGAAGTGGTAGTCTTTGAGCAATATTTCAGCTTTTAAAATTTGATCTGCATTTTGTATCCTTCTCCTTATACAACTACTAGGCTTTTAATACATTGGGTGACTTTTACATGCCCCTAAAGGCAGGCAGAACATTTATAGTGCTTTAAAGTGTGAGAAAAGATCTATTTATGTCTGGCTTTTAAAGCTCAATAGCCCAGATCAAGAGGGAGAAGCAACGGCAGCATTTGCCATTGAGAGCATCTTAGTTCCCAGATATCACTCGCTGTTTAAAACTCAGTACTCAGAACTGCATTTTGACTGATCTGTGGAGAGAAAGGACTGAAACCAACATCCAGCCAGAAGGCTAGACAGAAAATTTTCCCCAGCTGACTGTTGCTATGACTCTCACTTCATTTCTCAAAGAAGTTCTTGCTGTTTCATTAACATCCGACTGGATGGCAGAAAGGTTACAATAAATTTGTAACCATTATATAGAAATTAGCTTTACAGGTGACATAAATGGATAACATAGCACAGACATGAAATAATTTCTTCAAGATGAGGATTTTCTCCTGGAGTTAGCCTTTCATACACTTGTGAATGTTTTCCTATGAAGTGGCAATCAGGAGTTTTTCTGGACTGAAGATGTGTTTCTGACATGTTTCTCTTTGTGAACAAAGGCAGCACTTACAGACAAAGTTGTTAAGATTTGAGAATTCTTGTCTGAGTCAACATTCCACTGATGCATTAGCATTTGTTTTGCTAGTAAGCATTATATTTTATAATGCTCCTGTAACATGGTGGAAAGCACAGCAATAACAGCAAAGTCTTATGCTGTAGCAAATAAGGACTTATTCAAAGGCAACAGCCATACACACAGGAAAAAAACAGAGAATCTGCTTACCTTTAGAAGGCCTCAGGTAGGTAGGGATCTCCAGCAAGATACCCTTGCTTCCATTGCCAACCCTTAAATGAGGTCTGGGAAGGGGTGGAGCCAGGGTTCTGGCCAGCCACTCAGGCATATTGCATGCACTTTAGCTCCCCTGGGTTGACTTTTCCTTCCCACAAGGTGCTCCATCATTGGTTCAGGCTGTGACTTAGCATTTCTGCTCTGTGCTCCAGCACTGTCACAGAGAGCAAACCATTGATTTCAAAGATGAGTCTCCTCTACTTCAGGAAACCCCTTAAATACTGGAAATAGTTGATAAAGCTAAAGAGTTTGATAAAACTCTGGGTAGTTGGCGAAGTTTTGTTATACCTCAATGTAACACATTTCTGATTTTCTTCGCTTGTGGAATAAATCCTCCTAATAGTCAGTTTTTCCCATTTAGTTTTGCTTTGGAGCAGTACATCAGCTGATTAAATCTTTCCTATTGATGTTGTAAATCTGAGGATCTAGAAGCAGGCAATGTAACCAAGGCAAGCTGTTGCAAATGTTTTATCTTTAAAAAAAATAGTTCCCTATTTCATACAAAACTGAGCTATGCAACAAATTCTTAATATTGCCTTGTCCTCTCTGGGTTGTGAATTCAGCAAGCTGTAACTCTTCCACTTCTTCCCTTGGGAGACTATTATATAAGCATTCAGCTGTTCCTCTTGTTGTCCTTATTAAGATGAAATTTTATTTTGCTTAATTCTATCTTCATAGGCCTAACTTTGCAAACTGGGACAACTCACATGAATCCAGCCCTTTTAAAGACCAGACTATGCAGCCTGTGCAGAAGAACAAGGCAGTATTAAAGGCAGTAATAGAATTTTGCAAGGTTTTATGGGACTCTGACAGCAGAACTGACACCTACCTGAGTCAGCGGAGCGCTCTTCCAGAAATTCAGACTTAGCCACATTCTGGGCTGCGCTGGGAAGAGCGTAGCAAGGAGGTCAGTGAAGTGATTATTCCCTTCATCTCAGGTATTTGTGAAGCTGCAGCTGAAGTAAAGTTGCTAGGGGCCTGAAAAGCCAGATGTACAGGGAGAGACTGAAGGAGCTATGTTTATGTGGAGAAGAAGGCTAAGAGGGAATGTACTTAGTACCTTCAGGTATCTAACAAAGAGCTGTTGGGAAACAATTAGACTCTTCTCAAAGCTTCACGGCAAAAGGACTATGCAAAATATATGCACATATTAAGCATTTTATCTCTCTCCATTAGGGAAAAATGGTGTAGAAATACTATTCGCACAGCAAACAATTGTTGCTGTATCTCATTTGTAGACTGTCTCAGTATATTCTCATGCATGACAGGCTTCTAAAGGAATAAACGTCTTGCACTGCGTTTAGCATTCAGTGAATAACTGGAAAGAAATAAATGCAAATGTCTGTAATGCATACAATGAATATACAGTTGCATAAGTTACATCTCCATCTCTGAGAACTGTGGCAGAATTGGGTGGGTACTATGAAAAGGGATGCAGCTGACCTATTTGATTTCCTTTATATCACAATTGGCCGAGAACAGATGTTGAGATCGCGACGTAGAAGCACCTTATCTCAAACTCTTAAATTCTGTCCTTATTAGACAAAAAAAAAATCACATTGCTAAAGGACTGCAAACAATATGTAATAGTTTTGAAAAGAAGGCCAGTTGTGAATGCGTATGCATTTGACATGGGAATTGTATAGTTCTGAGTGCAAACCCATTAACACACACACACACACACACAAAAAAAAAAAAAAAAAAAAAGACAGGAAATGAGTTGAATTTAGTTCAATTTTAATTTTATTTTAATACACATTTATGTAGTTTTTCCAGTGTATTTTTTCTCTTTATGAATTTTTTATGGGTAAAATCTAATGCAGCATATGCCAATCCATAACAAAAGTAGTTACAAGTGATTTTGATATAGCCACATAATTAAAACCTCTAAGCCTAGTTGTAGGGGAAGAGTAGACTTCAGTGATGGGAGCTGGGTAATTCTGGTATTTTAATTCACATGCTGCCAGCTGGCTGAGACTACGAATCCTACATACAGAATTTGCCATCCTCCCATTGTAATTGATGCACCATGTCTCCTTATTTTGGTTGTACATCGTTCATTCATGTTCTTTTTTATTATTGAAGGCAGGTTTCAAAGATTGTACCTTCTATCCCTGTGGGGCTACAAGATGCAATGTACTGTCCATATCCATACAGGATAATTGAACCTACTTTGTTTTTCTGAATTCATTGTAAAATTAATATTTATTTTGGCTAACAGCTTTTTAATCTCAACGTGCTCTTAAGAGCTTTTCTAATACTAAGATCCCCTGCATTCAGGGGTAAAGGAGGGAGAACTCCAGTTTATCCTGTGCTACTGACTTTGATTCTTGCACTGCCTCAGGCTGCCTGTGTGATATCAGATCTGCTTTAGAATCACAGAATCATTCTTGTTGGAAAAGACCTCTAAGATCATCCAGTCCAACTGTCCACCTACCAGCAGTGCTGCCCACTAAGCCATGTCTCAAAGTGCCACATACATCTACCCTTTCCTTAAATATTTCCAGAGACGATGACTTCACCATCTCTCTGAGCAGCCTGTGCCAGTGCCTGACCACTCTTTCAGAGAAGAAATTTTTCCCGATATCTATCTTGAACCTCCCCTGGTACAACACAAGGCCATTCCTTCTTGTGTGGTTACCTGGGAGCAGAATCAAGTCCTGTAGCTGTTTATGCTGTTTATAAGCTTATGTAACTTGTTTTAGGAAACTGTCATTGTACTTGGATGTTACTGCCAAAAATCGGGGAAGTAATTTCAGTTGTTCTGGATGAAGACCTTGACGAGCAGTTCTGAATTGGTAGAAAGTTCTCTAAGGAGTTATCCTAACAATACATGTTGGAGGAGCCTCTGAAGATAAACCAAATTACCAGAGCCAGGAGCAAAGTTGTTTCTAACTTTGGTTATGGTTTATGCACAGCTAATGTTCTCTCATGATGCTCTTAATCACTAGAGAAACACATTCTCAACAAACAAAAGGTCAATTTAGCCCCAGAGTAACGTATAAGGTGTTGGAACATACAGGAATGTACCCTTACATTTTCACTTCCAAATATATTTTGTGATTTAGTAATGCTAAAATTGTTCTAAATAGAATTCTCTATGGGTGTGAATGCAGTTTTTATTCTTTCTTTTTTTATGAAGTTATTCTCTAAATTTTGGTGCTGGTGTTAGCAGCACATAATGGAAATGCAGTGATGGGACATACTTGGCAGCACATAATCACGTTTTGGAGAGCTGTATGGACTTGGCAGTCCAGATTCTAGTTAAATGCTAGCCATGGTCCAGTGCCACGTCCTTTGGGATTGCTTGTAGAAATGGAGTTTATTTCCTTCTCCCTCTTGCTATTATCCATCCCCTGAAAATTGTCAAAAAAGAAAAATCCAAGCTGGCTACTTGGAATGCTTACACATCTAATTGAGTAAAGCTTTAACACTCGTACATTTTTAATACTTATGCTAACTCAGGGGGAACACTTAGAGTTTATTACTATCCTTTCTTGTATCAAAGCCTAGAAACTGCCAGTTGCTGTACAGTATTAGAGATGCATTCCAGCCACTTCTGAAGGTACATCACTCAAGTTTATGGTCAGTACTCCACTGTTTATTTAAATGCTTTGAAAAATGTTAATACTGATGATTATGTGATGTTAGGATTGTAAGATATGTCCTGGGTTTTTATTTTATACTTCATTGGAGAAGATGCAATCTGGACTCTATAAGAAGTCATACACTTGAGAAGGAAAGGTAGTGAATGACAAAAGTTGCTTTAGATGGTCATTAAAGTGGAAACTCCTTAGTAGCTTGCAGCTATTTCCACAGCTGCAGAAACCTTCAGGCTTTGCATACCCTTTGATGACAGTAAAAAAAAAAAAAAAAAAAAAAGGGAAACCTTTCTTTGAGCCCATCAGATGCAAAGCCCTACTTCTTCCCACTCCTTTTTCACCACCTAACTAATCTCCATCATTGCTGGATTCTGTTGTTTTTACTGTTGTGCACTAAAACTAATACTTTCTCCCTCTTCCTTTATGCCTATAGGACAACTCTGTGTGACGCTTGCAAGTGGAGATAATGTTATTTTTATTGCAGTCTGGATGCTTCTTGAGTCATTATCAGAACAAGTCTGGTTGCTTTGCAGCAGTTTTCTCCCAGGTAACACTAACTTACCTGTTAGAATCTTTACAACAAGATTCTCTGCAGTAGTGGTACAGCAGGTGTCTTTAATAGGGACATGTGTTATAACTTTGTAGTTTGTCTTCAATAAGTGTTTGGACTGTAAAACAAAAGTGACCGTAGAGAATTAAGGTTTGCCATACCAAAAGAACAAGATTAATACCCTCTGTATCACCTAGCCACTTTTTGTCGCCCTGCTTTGCCCAGCCCCTAAGTTAAGTGGGATGAACCTGGGCCTTACTGTTTCCTGGAATGCTGTGTCCTGGAAATGAGTGAACACACAGGGGTTTTTGTTCTTACATAGAATAAAAAAAATTAAAGACAATCAGTAGAAAAGAAGTAGCTCATAGAATCACAGGATTGCTCAGGTTGGAAAAGACGTTAAAGATCATCGAGTCCAACCACAACCCAACCATACTACCCTAACTCTAACAACCCTTTGCTAAATCATCTCACTGAGCACCACATCCAAATGGTTTTTAAACACATCCAGGGGTGGTGACTCAACCACCTCCCTGGGGGGACTATTCCACTGCTTAACAACCCTTTCAAGTTTTTCCTGATATCCAACCTAAACTTACCCTGGCACAACTTGAGGCCATTTCCCCTCATCCTGTCACCTGTCACCAGTGAGAAGAGACCAACCCCACTCTCACTGTAAGCACCTTTCAGATATTGGAAGTGAGCAGTAAGGTCTCCCCCCAGCCTCCTCCTCTTCTCAGACTGAGCAGCCCCAGTTCCTTCAGTCACTCCTCATAGGGCATATTCTCCAAGCCTTTCGCAAGTCTTGTTGCCCTTCTTCAATGTCCTTTCTGTATGCAGACCAAGAAACTTTCAAAAAAAAAAAGAAAAAAGAAAAAGAAAAAGTCATGCTTAATATTTGCAATGACAGGAATTGTTCTCCTGTGCTTAATTGCCTCTGGTGAAGTGCAAACTGTAATTTTTCTTGACGTAGCTGTGCTCAACTGAAAAGTGTTGCGGTCTGACCTGGCTAATGTGAGTTTGGCTTCTGGGAATTTTTAAAATGGTTGACGGTAAGCAGAGTGCAGTTGGATATCGTTAGTGTGTTGTTGGTACCGGTCACTGTAGTTTGGAGGAGGTGCTCTTTGAACAACATTATTACATGTTTTCCAAAAGATGACTGTTACTGCTGGCCGACTGTGAGCTGTGTGGCCTGCTGTAAGTGAACGATTTCTTTTTGAGTCACAGCTGCGTCAGAAGAGTCCCTCAGCCACAGCCATTGTGCCTGTTCCCTTTCCTGTGCTGAAGAGTTAATTGCATTTTATTGACATCGAGCGGTGAAGAGTCTGTGAGCGGTGTTTGTAGCAGGCAGCCTGCTCTGGAATTGAGCTCTTTTACCAGGTACAGGGCTTGGGCCATTGCTACCAGATAGAAAACTCCCAGGACAGAAGTGTCAACTTGGAGAAGGGGGTTTTATGGTTTTAATTTTGCACCTGTTTCAAATACTAATGAAAAAGGACAGAAGTCACTTATAATGCCTGCACAAAGCATGTGCACCTTATTAGGGGACCGTCCAGTGGGGCCTTCAAGACCGTTGCACCGCGGTGTGCGGTATTCGCGGAGTGCGTGTGCGTATGTGTGCGCGCATCCCTTCCTTTCGCTGGGGATGTAGGTGCGTGCGGAGCTCCGCAGCAGCAGGGCAGGGGGAGCAGGGCAGGGGGGGCAGGGCGCGGCGCACAGCTGGCTGCTGGCTGCTGGCACGCCGGGTGCTGGCGCAGAAGCGGCTCACGACACTGCCGCCGCCCCTTTACGCGCGGCCCCGGTTTCATGAATGAAATCCAATCGCCGCGCTATAAATAGACCGCGGGGCCGCAGACGTCACAGCGCGCGGCTCTCACCGGCCCCGCCGCAGCCGCCGCCGCCCGAGCGTCCGTGTCAGCGCCCCGGGCCGGGCGGGCACAGCACCACCGGCGGCATGCTGCCTCCGTGCCGAGTCGGGCCGGCGCCCGGCGTCGCACCCCCGCTCTAAGGAGCGGCGGGAAGAGGCGCGGCGGCTGCTGCTTCCCCGTCCCATGTCCCGCCGGGGGGCCGGTCCCGCTGCGCGCGCTCCGGCTGCTGGCTGCCGGGCATCTCGCTATCCCGGGTAGGTCCCCCGTCGCCCGGGCGCGATCGGGCTGCGGCGGGTCGGGCCGGTGCCCCGGCTAGCGGAGCTCCGCGCGGTCCCTGTCCCCGCAGGTGCGCTCTCCCCTCCCCCGAGGTGAGAGAGAGCCGAGTCCTTGATGAAGCCGATCTCTCTCGCTTCCTCTAACAGCGAGGCCACGAGGTGCAAGACAAAAATAGATGATGCGTATGAGAAGCAGAAACCTCCTGGTGCTTGGCACTTCTGAGTGTCATTTACTAAAAACCTGAAGGTTTGGAAAGATTTCTTTCTCTCTCTTTATTTCCCCCTTCTTTTCTCCTGCTTTGTCTGTGGAATCTGTTGTGGGTTGCTGTGATGACAGCAGGAGACTGATGTGTGGGGCTTGCAGCATGCAGATTATCAGGTGTCAGTCGGCTTGGTCCTGTCTGAGGACCACGGAAAGGGGCTGCAAAGGGAAACAGGAGTAGACATTGCTTTATTAAGTCAACCTTCAGTGGATATTGTGGCATCCAGTGCCTGGGGTGAAAGGAAGCTGGTCGCTGACAGACTGAGCTGGACTAGTGAGAGAGCTCGGGATTGCCTTCTGCTGGTCAAAGCACTATGCAGGCTACTAACAATATACTTGTTTAACAATGATAATAACAATTTTAAAAAGCCCTTGAAGCTCTACATATGGTCACAGTGTGAGCAAGGAATTGATGCCAGAATATTCTCAATGACTTTGTTCATCCTCAGTTTGTGTACTATTTCAGGACACACAGCTGACACAAAGCCAAATGTTCAGCTTGAGCTGTAAGAGTAGCTGGGGTGGAAATTACTTTGTTCAGTGTGTTCAATGGGAGTTCTTAAGCCAGCACTATTTCTAGGCAAAAATTATGTGCGTGGGGAGGAAAGCACTGCTGTTACAATCTACAGACATAGAGTTGCTGTTTGACTGTTAGTGTAAGTAACAACTGAATGGGATCTATCTGTATACAGCCTGTACTTCAGGATCACAGTGTATGGAAACAAAGCACCTTAATTTCTCTTTAATAATTTACCAAGGCCCTCTCTCAGTAAGTTATGTTTCTCTTTTATGCGCTTTGGATTTGTATGCCTGATGTTATGTATCAGGTCTGTGATATATCCATTCACAGAAAAAAATAACTTGATGAGCTGAATATTTTATACAGGATTCTTTATCTTAGATACATTGTACTTACAGAGCGTAAGATCTGGGACATGCTCAGATGTGTGGAAGTATTTTTATCCAAGAAGAAATAAACATCAGTTTTAACTCTGGACAGCTTTCTAAATCTTCTGCCCTTTTAAAACTACCAAGCTTCACAAATACTGTAGAGTATTATACTGAGAGGAAGAGCTCATCGTTTGACCAGTAAATCCCAATGTTTGACTCTTTGCTAATAGATTTTGTTCACTGGAAAAATCCTTAAGTCCTGCATCCAGATGTTGCTCTGTGCTGATGGAGCTGAAAGGACAGAGAAGCCTTGAATTCAGAAAGGAAAGGAGCAACAGGTGTTTGACATGTCCTTTCCTTGCTCCCACCTGTTCTGCCAGAAAAGTACACAAACACTGTAGAGAGTATATACCTTGGACTTGCTCCCAAGCAGAGCACTTTAGAGAAGGAAAAGTAATGCTGAACAGTCATTGTTGCATACAGCAAGTTGCAGCACTCACAGCAAGGCATCACTGAGACTGAGAAGCTAGTCACATCAGTGTGAAAGCACCCTTGGATCATTCTTTGAGTTTACCTAAAAAAGCTCAAAACCTTGTGCTGGGAGTGGATGGTGGTACAGTGTGGAGGCTGGAATTGGTGCAGCCTGGGGTACATGTGGTGATAGTTGCACCCTTTCTTACTGGGGGTAGGCTTGTGAAATTAAACTGCAAGCTCCCTTTGGTTTCCATCTAATACCTTTCTATTTTTTTCTTTCTCATCTTCTCTGACATAAAAGATACAATATAGCAATTTCTGTCTTCTTTTAAAAAAAAAAAGAAGAAAAGAAATTTTATATGACAGCTACATGTTACAAGTCAACTTCATATATACTTCTTCCTATCACAGTTCAGTGAGCATCATGGGATTTACATTTGAGATATAAATTCAGAACTTGATCCAGGATCTGAAAGTAGCATTTATCTAAAGTCTTCTATCTGACAAAATTTACTTTTCTAGTCAGTGTTTAGGTGTGTGTGTATACACAGGGAGAGAGAGAGTGGGAGAGTCATCTAGAGATGTAATGCACCTGTTACAGTTTCCTTGTAGCAATCATATGTGAGAGTGAATAAAATCACACAAAAAAAATTTTTCCAAAACGTCACTGATTAACAAAATGTATGAGAAGAGTCACCTAAAGTTTGAGGAACGAGAACCTGATTCTGTCTTTTGGAAGGAAAAAATCACAGGAAGCTTCCTGTGTTGGAAAGTCACCAACATCTTTAGAATATTTTTCTTTGTAGTTCTAGCAAAACAGGATAAATGCTTCCCCACAGAAATGTACAGAAGTTGGGAGAATGTCTTTCTTTTGGGTTGGTTTTGTTGTTTTTTCCTCATTTTTCCCAGTTGGGAGTACTGCTCAGAGTAACATACCAAAGGGAGCATACAGTGTCAGCACCTGTCCTTATAGTGGCTAAAATCAGTAATAACCTTAATACAGTATCTGTAGTTTAATGCTCTTAACTACGTAAGAGTAAAATTAGGGATTTCATGGTGTTTATTATCACAAAACCCAGTAGTGCTGAATCAGGCTTGTTCAGTGGTGCTTCTCCCTTTCATCCCAAGTTTTATATTTTTTCCCAGGTACTCTTGAGCACTGTAGCCACTGAGTATTCAGCTGCAGCTTTGCCTCAAATACTGATCCAAACACTGAATAAGGAGATAAGGCATCTGATGCTTCATGTGTATTAATGGGTCAAGTGGTGTGACAGCATGGTATCTGCAGATGAAAATGTTGGTGCCAAGGACTCAGTGTCCATGCAGCACATGTTTCAGGGACAACAGGGGTTGCTTCAGATTACCTTTCATCTGGTGGGAACTGAACGTTTACTTGTTAGTGGGGGTAACTTAACTTTCACTTAAGATTAACCTGAAATGAATTCAGTTTGTGCACTCTGTGGCTGCTCCTGATGTAAATCAAGGCATAATAAGTGACAAGGCCTGGGATATTTGCTTCAAAAATGTTTTCTTGTCTGAACTAAAATGCTAGTGGTGGTGCACCCTTAATCTGCTACTGAAACACCATCTTTTGCTGCACAAGGAGGAATAGTCTAGGGATTTAGTGCACAGCAATATTTTGTATGTGGCTGCTCTATGGGATAACAGCTTTTTGGTGGTGGTTACCACCTGGTCCAAATGGGTATTGTCTGCTCTTCAGTTATTCAGTTCTCATACACTTTTAGTCACATCAGCTGCAGCTGACTTCAATTTGTACTGTTATGCCATATTACACAGGATGCATAGCAATGCTAGAGGTTGCACACTGCCTAGTCCCCTACATCTGCTGCTGTAATCTCTGGTAAAGAGTAAGAGCAGTCAGTTGGAGCCAGCTATATCCTGAATCCTGACAGAACACATTTGCAAAACTATATGAGAGCCATAAATCAACAATGTACAACCTATCCCCTCTTTACAGGGTTGGGTCCAGTGTGGTCACCCTTCCTCACATGTCTGTGTGGTAAAAAGGAAGAAACAAAAGGAGCAGTAAGGACTGTTCCGTGTCATGGCCTGTTCTTGAGGTAGACTGGGAAGATTTGGTGAAAGGAGAGGTAGCAGTATTGCATGCTCATCCACAGCACAGTTTCATCCCAGATATCTGCCTTCTGCAATGGCTAAACATCCTTCACCTGCTGTATGGATTAATTTCTAGAGAGATGATCTCTTCACAGAGGATATTGCAATGTATGTAACAGGTCAAAGTAATACGTAATCTGCTCAGACTAATCAGCTTGTTGACTTTGCACTTCAGGTCTTCCAGAACCTTTTAGAAGACTGACATAGTTCAAGTCTGATGCTGAGCTTTGCATTTGGTTCCGTATTGTCTCCAAATGTCTGTAAGTGTAACACACAGACAGGTCCTTTGTGAACTGCACATTTTGGGAGTCTCAAGAATATCACTGTTTTTAGGTTATCCAAGGAAGTGCTTAAAAGATGTTGTGCTATCACAAAAGTAGCCACATTAGGGTTTGATAAAGGGCCCTAATCTGCATTCAGCCCTGAATTTCTTAATCCCACATCAGTTTGTTCTTTTTCAGTCTTTTCCTATTTCACCTTCAGGGTAAGTTGACAGAACTTCAAATAACGGAACAGGGCAATGCTTCATCATCCTGGATGAGAATAATGGCCCCTGGTGACCTAGTTATCTGATCTCAGCTCAAATCTTGTTACCCTTTGTCACCATTTGCTTCCCTGATGCTGAAGTGGTTTTCTTGTGTTTGCCTTAGCAGTTGCTCCTTTGGTCCACCTGCAATTTAGTAATAGCCCAAATGTTTATACCCTGTTTTGTGATAACCTTTCAACAGCTGGTACAGGGTTTCTTGTACTTCGTACCATGTTGTGATTTTACTAATATACTTGATGAGACCCTAACCTCCTTACTAAAACCTAGACACAAACCATCCTTTTTGCCCACTACTCTTTCCCCAAATCAGAGCTGTTTGATGTTAGTGGATTTACCACCTTTCTGCTGGCCTGACTTTTCAAATAATTCCCACTCAAGCTATCCACATTATGTGGTGTGGATTTCAGTGTCTCTTCCCATTAGACTCCTGTAGTAATTGTGATGATGTAGTTTTGATTGGCCACCTATTTGTGTAAAGGCCTTTCTGTTTTGCACATTTGGTTAGTTAACTTGAGCCGGGTTGGAATTATTGATTTTTGTTTTTCCCATGGAATAAAAAACTTTATGGAATAGTCAAGGTCCTGACATGCTGTCATTCTGAGACTTCAGCTTAAGAGCTTGCTCTTAATGTGAGAGCTAAGTAACATGCTTGCTTGTCTTCAGATGCTGTCTCAGTCTTATTGGACATGCTTAAGCACTGAGATAAGAAGTAAACATGTGCAGAGTCACTCTATAGTCACTGATTACTGCAGATAGTTTTGGTGATTTATCTGTGATGTTTTGCTGAAAACAGCTGACTATTAGTGGCTGTTCTTCCAATCTTGTCTGTGTTTTGTGTGAGTTAAATGATGATGTAAAACATCTAGATATTTCAAAGTGGGCAGTTAGCTGCATAGGTACTGAGATCCATATGGGTGGATTCCTGATCCCACATAGGATTTTATAGGTGTGGCAGGGAACATACAGGGAACTTGCTACTGGATTTGGATCATCATCCACTTTCTTTCCAGCAGAGAAAAGTGCAATTATAGTTTTAAATATATTAAACTATATTTGTAAATCAAGACAGGTTCACAATTAAGGCCTGGTTAGATTTTGTGTACAAGCATACTTTAAATTTATGCTTAGAGAGAGAGGAGCTGATGTGTGTCTGTTGTGTCCCAGTACAACAGCTGATCAACTGTTGTATTATAGGTAGCCTCCATCTATAGATCTTTTGGAAAATTTCCTTAGAAAACAGCATTTCTTTACTGAGGCTAACTGGCCAGAAGGACCTGTTTTCCATAACAACCACAATTGTATTTTAGCGATAAAAACAAGTGGCTCAACAGTGAGAAATATTAAACAAAAAAAAATCAAGCACCTTTCAGCAATTTGAGTGAAGCAACAGAGGAAGCAATTAGTGTCTGTAACATCTGCAGGACATGGTTCAGTGCAGTAACCTTACATTTCTTTGGAAATAAATCAGCTTTATTTAGAATAGTTCTTTCCTGCTAATGAAGTTAGTTAACTTAATGGTTTATTAAATGGTTTTATCTCAGATTCTGAGTCTGCTCACATCTGCTGATTTTTTTCTGCTTTTGTCTCCCATGATACACAAATAATCACATGTGACAATGTAAAAACAGAAACATCCTGAGCAGTTTTAGTGAACCTATGTTATTCTTGTGGGTCCTTCATTTCCATCCATCTTCTCATCTCTCTTTAGAACTAGATTAAGGAGGGAAATCTTACACTGCTTTCTGTGTTGGAAACATCTGATGGTTCCCCCTGTAGGTTTCTCAGTGCTCCTCATTTGCTGATCTTTCAATTTTTCTGTGTCTTTTTTGCCAGCATCCTCTCTGAGACCAGTCACACTTCCAGTAACTTTCCTCTTACCTTCTCTTGTTTTCTTTTGTTGGTAAACAAAAGTACTGCAGGTTGTAGGTCGGTTTTGACTAGTGTTTCATTGGTCATGGAATGTTATGCTGTTTTTTTCTTAAGCTGCATGTAAGCTGGATTGCTCTTGTCTAACCAGTTTTGTTTTAGCTCCAGTTGGTTTTCTCAGATGCTACCAGCTAAAGAGCTCACTTTAGATTTATATAAGTTTTGCAAATACGTGTTTAGCATTTTTAATCAGGATGGTTGTATAATAGGTTTAACATAAGCCTAACTTAGAGGATATCTTAAAAACACAACAAACCAAACTGACCATGGCTGTATTTTTAAGGTGTTGTACATACTCCTATGTATGTCCTATGTACATACTCCTAATGGTCTATGACCATCCCTGTACCCCCAAAAGGTTTTAGCCACATTTACAAGCATGTAATGCACACATTTTGGAAACTGTTTACACTGTTACTGTCAGTTTTTGTTTGAGCTGTCTAAATATCTGGCCAGGCTTATTTCTGTTAGCTTCTTCAGAGTCTTTTCCTGTTTTCTGTTTTCTGTTCTCCTTTTGAAAACTACTTAACAATATTAAAGTGATCTGCATTTTCAGTATAGAGATACTCCATATCCACTGGAGTGGTTTTAAGAGCTTTTCTTAGCAGAGCCACAAAGCTTTAGCATTGTTTTTATTCCCAGTTTATTTTAATCTCTGTCCTGTGCGCTATTGAGTCATGCTAAAAATATCTTCATTAGACTGCCATTGATCTCCAGCAGAGCATACAGGCACACTGTGTCTGAATTCTAGGATAACTTTGCTTTTATTGAATAAGTATATCAGAAATAATAATAATTAAAAAAAAAAAACACTCATTTTTAAATTTCATTTTTGTGTGTTTCTTTTCTAGGATTCTCAAATAAGTGCATTGATTTCTCTCGTTATCTTTATTAAGATTTTCCTATTTTAAACTTGCTTTTCCAGCTCAGTGCTTAATCCATATTTTGTGCCAAACTGTAGTGTAATTTTGCTGAACTACAGTTTCAGAATTCTTGAAAAATTTTAAAATCAGATTCTTACAAAAAGCTAATTGGAACAACAGCATTTTAATGGAATGTTGGGTTAGAGGAAAAATTGTTTGGGCACCACTCTGCTTGGTAGTTTAAAACCAACCAGACACGCTGGCTAGCCATGTGCCTTCATTTTGTTTTCCAGCCTTGTAAACACATTCCATCTGTGATGTCTAGTCCATGCATGAATAAAATATGAAGCAATTTAATACCACATAATGTGTTGGGGGTTATTCTCTATTCTCAGATGTGAAATGAAACTATTTTAGATTGCATGTTGAAATCTCTTGGGTTTTTTTTTGCTACTCGTTCAGGGCCCTGGCTTTCAGGCAGTAGTGTACAAATAATGTCATTTTCTGTAATGTGGAAAACACCACATTATTTTTTTATTGGTCTTTTGTTTATATTGTAGCTGTATACTTGGAAGGGGTGGATGAAAGGAAGAAAGAGTTATCTCTCATTCTGGCTTTCTTATACTTGGATTCATGGTGATCATACAAAGCTCATGGTCCATCCCAGGCATCAGCCTCGTGAGAGCTTGCATGCAGCGAGCAGAGGTGGTTGGATGGCAGAAGTAATTGGAAAGTCTCTGTAGTCCTTTAGCCCGTGGCTATTCACCTTTCACAACTCAAATGAAAGGATAAAGGAGGTATCTTAATAGCTTTCATTCCTTAGCAGCTAAAACCTCTGTGGCAACACAGCATGCTATCACAAGGCCGTTACATTTTACATTAAGTAAATACTGCACATGTATGCTTGAAACCACAAGATCTGCTCTAGAGTTTATGGGGCTGTGTTGCAGACTAGTGTAGGACAGCTCTTTAAAATGTATTCTTACATGCTGGTCAGTGCTGTGGCTTTTCCTGTAGCGTTCAGTGTCTATGAAAACATATTGTAGTGACACAGCAGTGGGATAAACTCACTCTTGTACAGCTGTCAGTGCGATCTGTAATTCCTCACAGCCACATAAACACAGATTAAAATAACCGTGTCATGGCCATTACATAGTTTCTTTTGCAGTCTGTGCTCAAAATTTACAATCTCTGGATAACATTTAGTCCTAACACTGACTTTTGTTTGTCTGTTTACTTCAGTTAAAGTAATGAAACATATTAAAATTAGTGTTTGATTCCAAATTACTAAATGTGATTTTTCTTAAATCAACATAGTGCCTCTGACACAATGAAGAATGACCATCAGAACAGCTTGTATCTCATATTTTCAGTACCCTAATAGTTAATATATGTGCTATATTTAGGAGCAAATGAGATACAAGTATTAAAAAAGCTGTTGAAACAAAGGCACGCAGTAATTTATCTGTTGTACTTTTTCTTCTCAGGAAAAAAAGGACATCATCACTCCAGATGGTGGTCTGTATTTTGTCAGTTAAACTGCTGTAGGTTTTGTTGCTGAAATAGCTGTTAGGCAGGTCTTTCTGAACATGTTTGTGCTTTGTACTTTTCCTCTGCCTTGACTACATTCCCCAGCAAAGACCAGATTGCTGAAGAGAGATGATCAGACATTGGAAAATGAAAAACTATGATCCTGCATCCCTTTATTAGTGAATGACAGACTTCTGTAGAAAATGGGCAAGGTTAATTTTAGCCTTTCAAATATCTTTCTGTTCCACCTTATATTCATACCCAGGTGTTTAATCAATAAATTGCCAAAGAATATGTAAGTAAATACTTTCAGTAATACCTTTCAGAATCAGGACTGTATCTTCAAAAATCTCATTTTCTTTACTTTTCAGCATCATGTTAAAAAGTTTATTGGTATATGTGAGCACATTTGGAAGTTTCTGCAGGGCTGTTTGGTTTCATTAGACTCCCTGATCTTTACAAACTTCCTTGGAAAATTATGAGTATGTAATATGTGCAGGCAGTAATAGGAGCCATGGTTTGTAAAGAACAGTCTCTGGAGCAGTCTTACAAAGTCTGTTTTATTGTGTGCATAAAACTAAAACCATCTGTGTGACTTGGTCTTAGCAATATTGTTTGGAGAGCCCTAAATCAAATCCCGAATGGGCAAGATTAGAGAAGGCAAGTTTATACTAGAACCTTTCAGGTTGAACCCACTGATGTCCAGTCTTTTCTCCTTCTTAGCATAAAAGGTATTAGCAAGAGGTAAGTTTGTGCTAGCTGTCCTTGTTTCACCAAGATCTGGCTTCTGCAAACAGGCTTTGTTTACAGAAACTGAAGTGAAAATAGCATGTGAACAACATAAACTGACTGCGGTCAAAATAGTCCTGCATTTGCATAACTGCGCAGTATTTAAAGGATACTTTGGTACAGCTACAGACATTTCCTTGAGGCTTCAGTCTTTCTCAGACATCTTTGAAGAAGTAGAAGGGTCTGGTTCTAAATAACATTATTTGTACTGTGGTAGAAAACAATTTTAACTGTCTTGTTACAGTTTTTGGTAAATGGACATTGACATGGACTACGAAAGACCCAACGTTGAAACTATCAAGTGTGTGGTGGTTGGAGATAATGCAGTGGGGAAGACTCGTCTAATTTGTGCAAGAGCTTGCAATACAACCTTGACTCAGTATCAGCTGCTGGCAACTCATGTACCAACAGTCTGGGCCATTGATCAGTACCGTGTCTGCCAAGAGGTAAGGACTGCAGGTTTACAGAATAGGGAGTGCATGCTTTGAGGTTGCACTAATATTTACTGGCTAGCCTTTCCCTGTCAAAATGTAACAGTGCACTCAGATATATTGCATGCATGGTTTCTGCTGCAGCCATGGTCTGGAAAGCAAGGAGGGCTGTCATGTCCCTGAGTCTGTCATTCCAAAGTGTGTTGGTTTGTTTGTGTTTTAATTAAAACTATTTTGAGAAGATTAATATATTGCTTGTGTTTTATGAAATATACAATTCACTGAAAACCATATGATAGACTCTTGATGTACTATGTTTTGAATCTCCTTACAAGGCAAATTAGAAGTGTACTCGTTTCATGGAGGAAAAGAACATAAGTTGTGCTCTGTTTAGGTTCTTGAACGCTCACGAGATGTTGTGGATGAAGTGAGTGTTTCTCTCAGGCTGTGGGATACGTTTGGGGACCACCACAAAGACAGGCGCTTTGCTTACGGAAGGTAAGTTGATCCAGGCTAAACTTTAAATAGTACTTGTGGTAAAATTTAGAGCATAAACCTTTGCAGATCTTGATTTTTGAAAAGCAAGGACTTACAAATAATCAAGGGTATTCCTATTCCTGCCTACTGGAAAGAGGATTATATACCAGAAGGATTAAAAAGAGATAAATATTTTAAAAGCTGTGTGGTTTTACTACACAACATTTCCTTGAAATGCCTGCTAAGCTCTGTCAACAAATGTCCCATTTCAATTTTTAAAGAACATTCCCAAAAATAAGATCGTGGTTTTACAAAATTGAACACTGGTATTCCCTGCCTGATTAAGCAGCATATGATGTAATTGCCTACTTAATGCTGAAAGAACAAGCAGAGATACTGGGAACCATTATTAGCATTCATTGGAATATTTCTTGTAACAAAACCTGCCATGTTGATTGGACAGCTCACATGAAATGGACAGCTCACACCGAATGAGCAGAGCCCATTCCACGAAAGGTGAGGTACTTCTGTATGCAAATATAATGACAGCAGACTACCTCTATGGAGCAAATGTTTAGCTCCATAGAAGAAGATGGGGTCTGAATAGTTTTTTCCATAACTAACGAGGAACAACTAACAAGTAACTAACAAGAACAAGGTCTCAATCTTCACATATTTTCTCTCCTTCTCTAAGTTTTTGGGTTTTTTTTTCAATGTCTGGTTGTACCCCTTAAGTTGTATAGTGTCTGTCCTATCTTCAAATTACATTTTGCCAAAACATATTTACTTTTCCTTCAATACATGATGAAACGAGCACCTTTGGGAGATGATGGTCTTATCTTCATCCCTCAGAATCACTGCAGAAGGGTTCTGTGGTCGAATTCAGTTGTTAAATTTTCAAAGTATAAAACTATATAGCAGTTGGGACAAACTATTCTTTGCATACAGCCCTATGTTAGTAGTGTGCTTTCATGAATTAGCTTGAATTTTGTTTGTGTCAGGAGCTAAGGGGCAGCACCACAGCACTACATAGGGATAGAACATGTACCATTTGTCAGTAAGGTCTGTGTGATTTCTAGGTTAGCACTGATTTAATACTCAGTGCTGTTCCAGTATGTGAGTAGATACTGTTTTAACATTTGGCACATATGGAACCTACTTTGATAAATTTAGATGTAACTTAATGATTCCTCTGAATGTTCCTCTTTGGTGTGGCCTCCTGATATTCTGCAACAGATACTGTGCCACTGAGAAGATTACTAGAGATTAAGAGAACAAAATCAGGCATGTTCTGAACTCTGATCCACTGTTTGCTGACAGGATGGGAGAGGGGAAAAACAGCATACTTATTGTCTAATCCTGCAAACACCAAGGAAGACATGAATAAATGAAGATGTTATAGGATTAATCATACGAACACAGGCATTCATATGTGATGGTAGCAGAACCGAGTGCATGTAGAGTCAGGTTTGTTATACCTGGTCAACTTCAAAAGGCTGTTCTAAAAACTTACTGTGCCATTAGTGGTTTATCTTCTGCAAGTCTTGTAATACAGTAGATCACTGGAAACTCTCTTACAATTTCGGTTCTAAAGTTTCCCAGTCCTAAACAATGATCAAGGACTTAAAAAATATATATGCATACCAGTGTTGTAAGTCAGTTGTTTAACATTTTATCTATTTTAGCATTTCTAAACGTTTAACCATTCAAAAAAATACTGAATATTCATGTTTATAGGAATTCATTTAAATAGCATACATTGAGCCACAGTCTACTCATAGCAGAGTCGAATCTTTCAGCGAACAGTTTATATTGAACTGCTCAAGGCTACACCTAGAGGTACTCTGTCAGACTGTCTGAAAGGTTCTTTAATGAGATATTCCTTCAATTCCCTACAAAACCATTTTATGCATGTGCTCCTTGTGCAAGGGAAGGTTTATTTCAGCCGAGCACTCAACCAAGACCTCTAATTGTTCTAACCATGGTGTAACAAGAACCAGCAGGTCATTAATTCACTTGCTGCACGTTGGAAAAGATTGTTCCATGCAGTTTTGCAAAATGTTACATAAATAGATATGCTATAAATGACAGGGCAAACAGTTAAGAGGACTTGCAGCAAAGATAAATCCTTCTTAATTCTTTATTTTTCAGATAGAAACATTAAAGAAGATTGGCAAAAGGAGTTTTTCAACTATTTTTGTGTGTGTGAGAGAGGAAGAAATAAACATATTTCAATACCACTGAGGATGGAATGGTTAATATTTATAGTGTCATCCTTTAAAATGAAAGTGTGGGGAGTGAGATCAGTCTGTGCTCTACTGTGTGGTGTTTAGTATAGTAATCACAATCCTACAGGAGCTTTGGGAAACAGATCCTGGCAGATTACAGGAGGAAAGGGAGGTTGCAATGATTTACCAGTGTCCCTGGGAGGCACAAAACTGCCTGTTTAAAGACAAGAAAACATCTTTATTTGCACTTCTTTCAGTTTTCAGGATAGCTATCCTTCTGGCAATCTGATTTTGAATACTTGTCAACTTGTTGCTATGTTCAAATTAATTCAAAACAGGAAAAAGATTGGCTTGCACTCTTTTTCCCTCATGTAAACATATTCCAACACAGTTTGATTAATAACCTACAAAGTTTTTTGATATATGCAGCTCTAGTATGTGTAAACACAAGCACAGAGCTCATTTGTGAAATCAAGAGTTAATTCAGCCTTTATCAAATATTTGTTCTCAATACTATGATTGTGGTTTGTCAGCTAATGTAGCCAGGATGATTTATTTACTTGCAACTTAAGTATGAGCTGTAGATCAAACAAAATCTGTTCATACAGCTTGGGCAGCAAACGGTTTTCCTCATGACTTACAAATGTGAATGAGCCTTTCTGTGAAACTACTGACAGAGCTTCTTAAAATATGTTCATAGTATTACCTCTGTTCTGAATGGACTTCATAATCTTTGTGGGTATTGTATATACACAGAGGTACACATGCATTCATCTTTTCCTCTGTGGTTACAGGTTTCTTAACACGTTACTTCCATGTAATTGAATCCATAGAAACACACATTTAGATCACTGCTGAAACAAGTCCATGAGAAAAGGTGTTTATCACCAATAGTTGAAGATTTTTGCCAATCTGTTTAAGGGTTCTTCAGTTTTCTGGGTATTGTTGCTGCTGTTTTTTGGTTTTCATAAAAAGCAGCGATGATAGTGTTTCTCTAACAACAAAGCCCAGGTAGCTTTGCCGTAAAATGTTATTTGCATTCAGGAAACTTGACAAGATTAGAGTGAAGTGGGTGTCTTCATTGTGTGCAACTGTGCACACAGATTAGTTAGATCAGTTAGATCATCTGTTACTTGCTGTCTGTGCCAAAGTTGGGAATGGCAGCAGCTCCTCTACTTTTTTCAAAGGAGTAAGATTTCAGAAATGCTTTGAAAAAGCCCACACTTTTCTCAGGACAAGGAATTCTGCTATTTTTATATTAGAGCAATGATCCTACTTGCACATACCTTTTACTTGTCTTTTACTGGCAAGGGCTGGAGGGAGACTGCAGAGATGCATCTTTGCAGTAGTAGCACTTAGAAGAGTTTTTTGCTCTGCTGACAAAGAGTCAGCTGGTGGAGAATCCACTTGTTTCCAGACATGTATTTTTTTTTGCTTTAACTGTTTACTTTTGGAGTGTTTAGCTGCCACAAAAAAAACGACGTGCTGTATCTTCAAGTCGTCTTCACTGACCAACATTCTGAGCCGTTCCTGTACTTTACAGTGGCTATTCAGGTTCTTCATCAAGTAGTTCTGAAGTCCTGTAAAAAAATTTCGATATTTGATGCAAAATATTTTTTCTTTTGAGTTGATCACCACCAAGAAAAACTATAATAAGTAGAGTTTCATAGATCACTTTCTAAAGAGATTTTCTTTTGATATGGAGTATATACGCACTATTTTTTTTTCATTACGTACACTAACATTTCAGGCTTTTCCACTCAATCAACATATAAGTATTTGCTTTATGTACTTAAAGCAGTAAAATCAGTGCAGATCTATTACTTGTCTTTTCTGCATGCTGCCATGGCTCCATACTGTGAATAGAAAGAGCTTGGAATTGTGGTTAGGAGTCCTTCTTTCCTTAAAAGGATGTGTACCTAATAAACAGTGGTGTCTGAGGCTCTGTTTGACATACAGTAGAGAAAAACCTCTAATGTTTCAAAGTTTTCAAGTCACTCCTTGACTGGAGTGAAAAAGTATGTATCTAAAATTATTTGCTGTATTACATAGCTTTCTTTTTTTTCCTTGTTCTCATAATTCACTGTCTGGGGGAGGGAATGGGAAGAAGTTATTTGGGCTCTATCCTAAGGACTGCAGTGCAAAAGGAAAATCTTTCAGAAGTGCTGAACTTGATAACTGACTCTGCAGAAATGTAGATCTCTGTGAATTATTTCTTTGTGCATATCTACTAGGTAGAGCTCTACTTTAAAGTTCTTAGTCTGAATTTCCTTATGCGTATATCAGGATACAGAAACCACTTGCACAACCACCTATAAATATTTTAAGTGGATTTCACTTACCAATAACTTCTTGAAATCAACTTGCAAGTTTAAACTTCCTGACAACTGTTATTGTTTTTTTTAAGTAATAAATGATTTTGGTGACAGCCCAAAAAAAGCAAAAAAAAAAAAGTATTTTTTCTGTCCAGATAATGAAGGTCTGTCTAGCATCTGTTAATGTTCAGTTTTCTTGTCTTGCATGACTTCAGAAGTTACTCTCATAGTGGATGCAAAACAGACCCTGTAATTGTGTCCTCTGCTCTAGACTTTTGCCTCTCTTTGTCCTTTCCACTATTGCCTTTCATTAGAACTTATAAAAAATCATCATTTATAGGAATGTTAGGATCTAGCTCTGGATCTTCATTTTTGTGTTTGCTTTCTCTACTTACATCCATTCCCTACCTTTAGGGTCTTTTTTCTTTCTAAATTTCATTGGTTCAAATGGTATTTCAGCAAAATCTCTTCTTACCTC